TGTGTGTGTGTGTGTGTGTGTGTGTGTGTGTGTGTGTGTGTGTGTGTGTCTGAGGTTTTGTGCTACCTGTACACACACATAACCCACAAAGTTCTTGAGTCACTTGTCGGGGTCGTTAGCATATGGAGGAGATCCCACGGATTTGGCGGGGTTGATACTGAGCTTCGATTCAGATGTAGAACTTGATTTTAATGGGCTCCTGATTATTCACGTGCTGCTCAATTATATGTAGTACAGAACACAGACTGGGGACTTGGCAGCGTCTCTGTGCTAAGGACACGGGGGATGGTTCTTGGGTTGTTGGGGGTCTTTGCAGCACAGTCAAATCTGGACCTCCCAGCATCAAAGTCAGGAGTTACTAGGGGGCCTGACTGCTTCAGCCTCTGCCAGTCGATGGGGGGGCAGTCTTCCTGTCACCAAGGAGTCATTGATTGGTCGCTGTTTGTTTAGCCCTTGGCTCGAGTGAGATGGGCTTCTCAGTAATTGCTTCCTTCCTTCCTTTCTAAACTATGGATTGTGAAATTGGCAGGTTTTAGTTTTTCCATGAAAAAATTTAGATGCTGAAACTTTTTTGTTCATGGGTGAGACATGTTCATTGGGCAGCGAGGTGGCCGCATAGTGCATAGAGCCCTGGGCTCAGAGTCAGGAAGATTCGGCTTCATGAGTTCAGAGCCCGCCTCAGACACTTACTAGCTGTGTGGCCCTGGACATGTCACTGAATCCTGTTTGCCTCAGATTCCTCATCCGTAAAATAAGCTGGAGAAGGAAATGGCAAACCACTGCAGTGTCTCTGCCAAGAAAACACCCAAAAATGGGATCACCGAGTCAGATACAACTAAAGAACAACAAGATTTTTTTTTTTTTAAACCAAACCTGGCATTGCAGTAAGAGCACTAGATTTGTCATCAGAGGCCTGGTCACTTGCTACTCTGAGCCTCAGTTTCCTCATCTGTAAAATGAAGAGGTTGGAGTGGAGAGCCCCCAAGGTGTTCCTTCTTGCTCTCAGTCCCAATAATTTTCTTCAGGGGTGGGAGAGTCTCCCTAACTGATCTCATGCTTCCTCACTGGTACCTGGTGGCTTCATGATGACGTGTGGTTTGCAATCATAAGCCAAGCTCCCTGTACAGGGGGGCCTTGCTAGACAGGAGGAGCTGGTCTCATGGCTTCGTGGGATGCTGTCGAGCGGGGCATGGCTTCTTTGTCCTAGGGGGCGTGGTCAGAGCAGGTTCCACAGTTCTTAGTGGAAGGGCAGCATCAGTAAACGTACTTCTGCACTGTGAGGATTAAGGTGCATTGTGTTCTCTGTGTGTGGGGCGTGTTTGGTTGTTATACATACTGCGTGTAGAAAGGAGACCAGTTCAGGCTTACACACCTGCAGCTGTGGCACGTGAACATAGACCTCTGAACTTGTTGGTTGGCTCTGTGGCTTGGTTTTTATTGCTATGATGCAGACCAGTGGGACCGAGGAGGGGCAGGTGCAGCCACGTCTTGTGAGGCTGCTGAAGTCTTGGCATCATTGGGATTTTTGTGACTAAGTGTGATGGGTGCGCTTTGATAAGATTTCTTGTTTTTAGTAAACTGTGTGGTACTTTGTGCTTCATTTCCATTCTTGGTCATGCCATTGTGTGTTTTATGCTTCTGCCTTGTGGGAACCATTTGGTGGCTTTCTCTCCTTGCCCTCCTATGGCCCTCTCCCTGTTCAGTGGCTGGGTTAATGGGATGGCACGTGGAGGTGGTACAGGAGAAATGCCTCATGCACGAGGATTGTGCAGATTAACAGGTGCTGCCGATGTTGGCATAGGTCGTTTCACATTACGTTTCTCATTTCAGTTTTTTGTTTTCCAGACCGATATAGGGCTTCCATTTCCACAAAGAGTTGTCCAATTACCAGAGATTGCATGGGACCAGTATACTAACAGCCTTGGAAACTTTGAGCGAGAGTTTAAAAACCGCAAACGCAATACGAGGAGGGTGAAGTTGGTTTTTGATAAAGGTACGTCATCATCAGTATCAGCACTGTTTTAAGTGGAAACTTTGATACTGAATTTTGATTGAATAATTCCATATTATGGTATTGTTTGCAGTAGGTTTACCTGCCAGACCAAAAAGTCCGTTAGATCCTAAAAAGGATGGGGAAACCTTTTCCTATTCTGTGCTGCCTTTAAGTGATGGTCCAGAAGGTTCCAGCAGCCGGCCCCAGGTAAGGGAAGGACATGGGGAAGATTTTTAAAAAGCACTTAGACATTGTTAGCTGGACAAGACTTTTTTCCTTGTTGGATTCTTATTAAAATTCAAGCACTCTTGACTTTGATGCTCGCTTCGCTGGGGGTTTGCCTCGGCAGGCTTCATGAGACTTGTCTGGAGTGGGCTGAGGAGAGGCCCGCACTGTTGGCGGTGACTTCCTGCCCATGAAAATCTTGTCTTTCTCCCAAACTGTGGCACCACCCTCGCCTCCTCTCAGCCAGAAGCCTTGGAGGAGGGGCATGGTCAGGAAGGTCTCTGGCCACAAGAAAGTTGATGGACAGGTCACCCTTGCTCCCTCCCTAAGCCCTTCCTCCCCCGTTTTCTCTCTGACTAGATGATAAGAGGCCGCTTGTGCGACGAGACCAAACCGGAGACGTTTAATCAGCTGTGGACCGTGGAGGAGCAGGTAATGGAGTGCCCTCGTCAGTCTGTGTCCCCCTGAAGTGGGCACGGGCATGGGAGGAGGCTCCTGGCCTCTGTAACAAACATACACGCTTGTCTGCTTTCTCTAGAAAAAGCTGGAGCAGCTGCTCTTGAAGTACCCTCCCGAGGAGGTCGAGTCTCGACGCTGGCAGAAGATAGCCGATGAGCTGGGCAACAGGACAGCCAAGCAGGTGATGGGCGCAACCGCCTGCCCTGGTGGGGGTGGGGGCCAGAGGGCAGCTGTCCTGAAGCGTTAGCTAAACACCGGTGTTCTTACTGAGGGCTTGGGTGGGGGGCAAATGGTTAGGGTCTATGGAGTGGAACTGGGAGGATTTGGTATTGGTCACTTGGCAGTGTGCCCATGTCCTCCTGGGCATCTGCTGAATGTGTGAGGACGTGGGCACCCACGAATGCACGCTACGATCTTTCCCTGGAAATGAAGGACCGTGGCTCACCCTGAGATCAGAGCAAGCTTTTGTCAAGACTCAGGAGTCTCTGCCATTCTCACAGAGCTGGGCGGGGCCGCCTGTCCTGAGAGATGTTCCCCTTGTGGTCTATCCTGGACACCCAGAGAAGACCAGGGAGCCTGCTCTGCTCTCTTTCTCTCTCCGACCCCCTGGTTGACTCTGTCTCCATGCCCTGGTCATTGTTTCTTCTCTGCCTCTGTCTTTCTCTTCCTCTCTCATACCCATGTACATACACCCCACTGCCCTCATACTCACAAATACACA